TTTAAAATAGAAAACATATTTAATATTGATGTATAATGAAATATCAAAGCTTATTTGATGTACCTGAGTAAGTGTTTAGAAGAAAATGATACACCTTTCATTTAGGATATGTTAAGAAAATAAATGTGAAATTAATGATCTGTATAAGACACACAGTACAATTTTCTCCAAAAACATCAAGGTCTGCAATATCATAAAAAAGCAAACAAACCCTAACTCGTACTCCCGAGCCAGCACCGGCTCCTGTCCCTCTGCTAGGTTTATGGGGCTATTCATTTGTACAGGAGGAGACTACCCAACCTTCTTCCGAGGACTGACTGGTAGATTCAAACCACTACACTGCTGGTTAGCAGCCCAATATACAATGTTGTGCTCTGAAGCACAAGTTTAAACACAAACCTGAGATCCTGCACATCGTCTACCTCTGAAGGCGGCAAGCATTCAGGTGGGGGCCGAGAGAGAGCTCTTGGACACAAGGCAAATAAAGTAAACTAGTACAGTCTGCATCTTGCGGTTCTCAGCTGAGATAGAGAGCAACTCTAGAGACAGACAGGACACACTGGTAACTAATGACTGGAGACCACAGGAGCTGTGGGATGACCTCTAAGACCCTACACATGAAGAAGCAAAAGGTCATTACAAAGAGCAAGCAGAAAGAAAATACCAACACGAATGTCAGGTGAAACTTGCTCGTGAATATACACTGAGCTGAGGTGAACACAAGGACAATGCTGAAATGAAAAAAAAAATCTGTCTTCAAAGGGCAGACTGAGAAGATAAAATTTCATAGCGAAATGTGCACAGTTCAGAAGAGAGAAAACCAAAGTGGAAGAACACGCTAGACATTCCTCAAACAACTGAAGAAAGAATTCAATGCGTGAGTTGTAAAAGTGGTGGATTCTGTAGACAAAACGGCAACTCTGCAGACCCAGATGACAGGATCTAGCTCACTGAAGATGAAGATGTCAAGTACATACTTAACAATGAAGATCAAAGATAGTAAGAACTACATGTCAGTGTGAAGAAAACGTAAATCTTTACTACGAGACCAGTGAGTAACATCACGGCAACTGAAGAAAAGACCGAAGCTGTCAAGATTTCCTTCCTCTTTGAGCCACAGTCCATGTCCAGGAAGCAGCAGCAGCCGCCAAGGAATCACAGGAGAGTGCACAGGCCAGGTTGGCTGCAGACAGCCCGTTAAAGCGGCTCGAGGACCAGGGATGCCTGACCGAGGCCTGGTGTGTTCAGTCACTGCAGAGGCGTGTCAACACTGGAGGGTAAGGAAGGAAGACTGAAGGGGAACTGAGGGCTCTCAACTGTGGTGCTGGGGAAAGAGGGACTAAATCATGGTCTGCCAACCACCGAGCAAATCTGTCCTGGGAAGAGTGGTGCGAGAATGATCCTTGGAAGG